GGCCTTTTACCTCCCCACATGAACTCATCAGGGCTCTGCCAGTCCTTACTTTGCCTTACAGATTAACACTAGGCGCAACCTCGTCTCCAGCCCCTCTGACGTGTCCCAGGTAAGCCGTCGGGACAACACCAGCTTGTTTGATTCAACTGAGGATCAGTGCCAATAGAACATCACAGCACTGAGATGTATATTTTAGTGAAAACAAACAAGAGTTTATTAGTTCAGATTGAAGAGATAGTGAGCGAAGCAATAAGACCAACAGGTTACACACCAAACACCAGGTATAACAGGATTCAGATAGGCTGAGATTAACTTTTACAGGTAAAATCCATGGTTAAAGCATTCTCCCACGGTCACCAGCCATCATTGATGAAATCCCCCTTTTCATGAATGCAAAGTGTGCTCTCCTTTTGACTTCCTGAAGGGTTGCAGGGTGCTGTTCTTGTCCCCCAGTTGTAGTCCAGTAAACCGCTGAAGTGCCCCCCACACACCATTGTGTGTTCTCCAGTGTGCTCTCTCTGTTAGTCTTATATGCCAGGGGCTCTCAGCCTTTCCCCACCACTGCGCCCCTCTCAGGAGTCTGATCTGTCTTGCCTCTTTGGCTCACTTAAAAATGACTCATTTCCAAAATCTGACAAAAAAGTACAAAAGTGTCACAGCCACTAGTACTGAAAAATTGCTGCCTTTCTCTTTCTTACCATATAACTTTAAAACAATTAATCTTGATTAATCACATGATTATTTGAACTGTTAAATAATAATAGAATACCATTTCTCTAAATATTTTTGGATGTTGTCTCCATTTTCAAATATATTGATATAAATTACAACACAGAATACAAAAAGAAGAACAGGAGTACTTGTGGCACCTTAAAGACTAACAAATTTATTAGAGCATAAGCTTTCGTGGGCTACAGCCCACTTCTTCGGTTGCATATAGAATGGAACATATATTGAGGAGATATATATACACACATACAGAGAGCATAAACAGGTGGGAGTTGTCTTACCAACTCTGAGAGGCCAATTAATTAAGAGAAAAAAAAACTTTTGAAGTGATAATCAAGCTAGCCCAGTACAGACAGTTTGATAAGAAGTGTGAGAATACTTACAAGGGGAGATAGATTCAATGTTTGTAATGGCTCAGCCATTCCCAGTCCTTATTCAAACCGGAGTTGATTGTGTCTAGGAAGAGTCTGTCCTATCTCGGGGCCTCTCCTTTTGTCCCTCCAGACCCATGAATATGATACAGTTCTGCGGTGACCTAGAATCCTACTTTCGACGTCTCCGACTCAAAGAATATTTCCAACATACCTCTG